AGCTGGGCTCTGGTGTGTGTGCCTGGCCCAGCATTTGCTGTGTGAGACCAGGTCTCACGAAAGTGTTCAAGGCCAGGCTGGATGAGGCTTTGGGCAACCTGGACTAGTGGAGGGTGTCCCTGCCCCTGGCAGGGGGGTTGGAACTAGATGATCTTTGAGGTCCCTTCCAACCCAAACCATTCTATGATTCTATGATTCTATGAAAATCAGTGGGGACTGTTGTTGCCAAACCTAGCTCTTGACTCCAAGTATCCTGTAATTTAAGTTCCAAAGTTTCACAAGCTCTTTTGAAAACTTTGAAAAGCTTTAGTGGCTTTTCCACTTTCTACAGGAAATTATCCTAATATCAGGAATAGGAAGTAGTAGAGCTCCTGAATTACTATCCAGTCTGTTAGCTACCTGGGCATGTCTCTCCATTAGCATAGGCATATGTTTTGCTGTAAATGTCCCCAGTCAGATTTACTTTCACACATGCATCTACATGATTAACATTTGTGTCTATTTGTTTTACTTATCATATCTGCCACTATCCCTGTCACTTGGTACCACATTGGGTTATAATGAGGAGCAGGTAATTTTGCTTATAGACCATTTGCAGAAATTGGAAATCATCTTACTTCTTTTTAATACAATCATTTTGGTTCCTTTACAGAGAGATATTTTTGTCCTCGGGGAATGTTTCAGCCTACCAGAGTGTTACAGACAGGATATACCATGCGCTGCCTCCATTGAGTAACTCTGCTATTCAGAGTGCATTTGCTTCACAGCTAAGGCTCCCACAGCTTCTGGATCCTCAAAGCTGCAGGGTGAGTAAAGCACACCCTCAGACACACTGTTCCTCCGTTTGCACTGAGCTCCTTGGAGAACAAAGTCCTCTGCGGTTCTTGCTGGTGTGCTTACCCCTTCCCTACCATGATGCAAAGAACCTAATTACTAATAGTAATTAAAAAAAAAATCCCATGATCACAGCTTATTAACTTGATTCACCATTAGGAATTCTAGAAAACATTCTCTACAGAAGTGAGTAATGAAAACTTGTGATGGAATGTAATCACACTGATGTCACCAAAATGGAATTATTCTGTATGGTAGATGTTGGTGTTTCTACTAACTTTCAGTTTTGGTAATTACCCTTCTGAGTTCTGTTATCACCCAGCAGCAGTTTTGATTGCCTGACGTGTTGGTCATGGTTGTGTGCAAGATACTTACATCTATAGGTTTCTTGGCTATAGTGTCACAGAGAGCTACATAATGGTAAATTAGATACCTGTTTGCTAATGAGGCACCTTGAGTAACACCGACAAAGAAAGCTGGTGTAATGTTAAGGGAAGTAAAAATGAGCTAGTGATACTAGCATGGTTCAAGGTAATAGGCAGTTTTAAATAATCATTCTAACTTCATGTTTCCTTATTTTCATCCCATCCTGCCAATTATTCAATATCAGATGCTATTGTTTCACCTTTAATAATGCCTTTCCGAAACAATGAGTTATAGGAATACAATTTTCTGCCACCTCTGCCTTGATTTAGGTGACAATGACACATAGGACCTCCTTAGCATATCTGAGAAACAGGATTTGTACTGGCATACAAAATCCGGACGTCTTTGATGAATAAGATGTCCTGATGCCTCTGCAATAGGACCATCAATAAATGATTGACAGTAGGTAGGTAAGGATGTGGGAGCTATTCTGTGGAGGCAGAATTAGCACAGCATCTTAGTAGGAAATGTATTCTGGAATTTATCTTATTGCTTCTTTCCCAAGGTGTGATAATAGATGCTTCTCTCTTTTCTAGTACACAGCCTACTTTCAAAGTCAGAGCAGACTATATCACATATCAAGTAGCAGCTTGGCCTCTGAGTTGCCTTTTCCTGATCAAATTAGATGAGAATCTCATAACTAATTGAATGTTGTTCTTATTTATGAACAGCCATCTCTATTCTTTTAGACACTCATGCATTTTCCTTGGAGGACATTCCTAATGGATGGAGGATTGTTTCCAGTCACTATCAACAACACAATTAATATAAATTACAACATGCAGGTACAGTGAGACAGCAGCCTTGTGCTTATGTCCAAAGACATAAAGACAAGATGAATCTATGATGCAGGAGGAAAACAAACTAACACAATCTTGTTTCCTGTCTTTGTTTTTTAAAGAAGTGAACAAAAACTATCTCCCTCTTTTCTGTCCAAAAGCCCATTTTACCATTTACTTCACATTTGATCTTTCTTCAAGCAGAGCAGAGCATTTTTATTGATAATGAACCCACACTTATCATTTTCCTAGTGTGCTAGAACTACAGAATCAAATAATTTTTATGTATGGACGTATGTGTTTTAGGAGCATGGTGCTAAAAGCTTGAAATCCACTTGTGTTTATAACACAAAAAAACCTGTGCTGACAGTTATCTGAGATTTGCTATTACTGGCTACGCTCTGTGCAGCAGACCTTCAGAGACTCTCCCTTCCTCTCCAGCTGTGCCTGTGCAGCCTGAGTGATGCAGACCGAAGAGTTGCTCATGGGGAGCTGGTGGCAATGCAGTTTCTAATGGAGGATGTACTGCAGAACAGCTATGGCTGTGCTGTGGAAGAGCATGCTGACTGTCAAGCCTCGTTAGCTAAGAGCAAGCAGGTACCTCTGACAACTCAGTTTTTTGGGACTGTACAGCTTCTATGTAGTACTCCCTTTAGTTTTGCAACCAAATCTCTCTGAACATAAGCAACCTAGACCTGAGGTATGCCATAAAAACCTCACCTACTCCTGGCCATCTCGTAAGAAGCAAAGAGAACAACGTTGTATCTTATAAATCCTGAGTCTCTCTCTTGAGAAGCCTGAGTGATAGATGCCCCTTGAGGGCTCGTTGGTATTGCCAGACTTCTGGAGAAAATGGAGACTGTCCTGACTTCTCCCTACACCCCACCAAAGGTCCAGCTCTTTCTTTCTTATAAGAGCTACTCAATACAAAGGGGAAAGGAACAGCCTGGCCACTGTCTAAAACCAAATCTCGTCAAGGAGAAGCAAGGTACTTCCAGGCTGTACTTCCCTAAGTGCTTGCATTGTGCTCCTGTATGTGAGGAATGGTTGCTGGGGGCACCTAAAGCCTGCCAGAAACGACACAAAGATTTGGTTCAAGGAATGGGGAAAAATGGAAAAAAGGTACACTGATCAATTTGTAATTTAAAATGAGTGGAAAGGACAAATTCAGTTATTTTAAGGTATGCTTCCTGCAAGATCTGACCTAAGAGTTTGATTTCTATAACAGTGCTTTTAGTAGAGACCAAGCAGAGAGTGATGCTGTGGAAGTGATTTACTTGAAGAAAGCAGCAATAAAACAAAGGATTTAAATTCTGTGCAATTTTATCCTAGTTGCTGCTGTATCTGTGTACTCACTGCAATCAAAAAGTAGCCCATTTTTTTCCTGTACCGTGCTCTGAAGGACACTGGTATAATGCCTCGTTGTAAGTTCTGATTGCGCAATAGCCTGTCTTATGTCTCGCCCCACTGTGTATTTCATGAGATGCCATTAAGCAAAGAAAATAATGTGAAAAGCTTGTTATAGCTTTTTGAAACAAAACCTTTCCCCGTGACTTCCAGCAGAATTTGGCAGAAACAGTTGACTCAAGTGCTAACTGGCTGCAGAACAGCAAAAAGATGTGCAAACTTTTGCTGAGGCATCATGATCCAGTCATGTCCTGTAACTTGCTGAGGTCTTTCCTGATACTATGGAAGCAACTAGAAATATTAAAGGCAGAATGGGGCCGGCTCAAGCTGAGGACTGAGGATATCAATACAGTTCCTCTCTACAAAGAGTTTTGTGAGCAATATGGGTAAGTTACCTTGAATGCGAGAATATTCCAGAGTGACTGAAAAGATGAAAAATGAGAAAAGTCTCTGCCTTCTCCATCCATTTTCCTCCTGTTCCCCTCTTTCACTTGCCTTTTTTTTTTTTTTTCTACCTTTCTTTATTTTTACTTATAATCAACCTACTACTTTCACTTTTCTCTAAAGGCTTGAGAGCTACCTTTTGTTTCTTTCTTTCAGTACGGTTGTTTTTTCCCCTCTTTCAATGTCTATTCAGACTGTTTGCTGATGATGTTTTCCAAGTGCATTCTTCTCAGCTGTGTGACCGCGTCTGTATTTCAGGCTCCATAAACAATGTTAAATACAGTACTTGAATAAATGGAAATTTTGGAAGCCTGTTAGATGAATTGTAGCAAATTCTTCCTAACCCTCCTATTTGGTTCAACTTTGAGCAGTCAAGAATAGAAAATTGGAAGTTTTCCATTAGAGAGGTCCTTCTGAAAGTAGAAAATGAGACATTGCTTTTTAAAAAGCCTTGTCCCTGAAAACCACAAGAAACAAAGTGAAAGAGCAAGATGACACAGTAAGGGTGAAATCCATGCCTGAAGGCACTGGAAAATACTGTTGTCATGCAACAGAGCGTGGAGGAAGCAATGCTCAGTGGGCCTGTCCCTACAAGGCCAAGGCTTTTGAGACTGACAAGTCTGAACTGGTCACAGAAAATCTGTGCGTGTGTAAAGAGCTGGCATCAGATCTGCTCCATTCTGGTCTCCATTTATCTGTATCCCAGTGTTCCTTCCTGTGCATTACCACCGGATCAGAGGGGACACGGTCCAATGCTGGGGGCCCGTGCTCTTTGCCTCTAACTGATCTATAAACTCTGCCAGGGCAGCAGCTCCGGGGCAGAGCAGGACTGGGTCACCAGAGGGCTGGGGGTCAGGGGCAGGAGTTCTCCGTGCAGAGCGAGCAATGGCTTGTGCTTACACCGTGGGGCTGGGTGGCTGTGGGAGAGCTCCGGCCTCAGCGGCTCCCAGCCCCTCCGCACCCGTGGCTCTCTGTGGCAATGCCTGAGATGGGGCTTAGCAGTTTTTGTCTCCTGGGAGGAGAGGCGAGATCCCTGCCCCCAACTTTGCTTATACTGGCCTGTAGCGGCACCTGTAACAGCTCTTTCATAGCAGGAGATCTGCCTGCAGTAAGGATGGGACTGTTTTAAAGCACCTGGGACATACTGTACCCCAAAATCCCACTGTTTCCCTCCTCCATGTCTCCACTCTTCCCCTTCCACAGATGAGAGCTTCTTACTTCCCTCTCTGAGCTCTGTGCTAACCTTTGTGTCATACCACCAAGGGTTTAAAAGGCAGCATGATTAAAGCAATAAAATGTAACGAGGTATATATGCCTTGCTAATGGCTCCTCTGCTTCTAAGAGCAAAGTGCTGTCTGCCTTGGCACTTAGCACTCGAAGGCACTCAGGAAACCTATGATCAGAGAGATACAACAGGGAGCAGGGGGAGGAGGTAGAGGCAGTTTCTTGCTCTATTTGAGCAACTGCGATGATAGACAAATTCTTACCAGTGACCTGATTTCCCTGCTTTATCTGTTTGACCCCTTGTTCCTTCCCCTTGGTTTTGGTTTTGTATTATTGTAAGCGCGGAGAAATTACTGAAGTATGTAATAAGGCAGGACCAGCGGAAAAGAGACTGTCCTGCCCCCGCTTGTAGATCAAGTGGGGCTAACGTGGTGAGCTGAGCCTTAATCATATTCCACATGGGTTAGGAACAGGGGCAGGGGAAGAAAAAGGAAAGTTAAGGTCCAAGGTCAATAAATGCAAACACAGTAATTTTGAGAGAGAATGTGTGAAATATCCATGTCTTGGTGATTCTAGCACAGACATCCTGTGCCCGGCCATGAGAGCCATTGTCAGGCGAATAGACCCAGAGGAGGAGTTTGTCGAGCCAGTTACAAGCACTCAGCATATACTTCCCCCCAGAGGAGCATCAGAAATCGAAATGAAAGTGTACCAGGTAAGGGCAGGCTTATTACTGGAGAGTTGTGGGGCACCACACAGCGTCATATTTTCCTGCAATTTCTAAGTGAAGTCCAGTGGGGGCCCATGGAGGCTGTCGTGAGGGAAAGTTTGACCTGACAGGCTCTTCAATGTCACCTCTGCTGTGTGGAGCCAGGTGTGGGTCCTGGGAGAGCCCAAAGCAACAGGGGAACAGGGAACACAGAGTATTTGTGGCACAGCACTATGCATACATTCACCCCCAAATGATATTAATCTTGATACTATATCTGAAAGTGCTGTACACTAGAGAAGAATGGAGAGAATTCATAGAATCATAGTATGGTTTGCATTGGAAGGGACCTCAAAGATCATTTAGTTCCAACCTCCCTGCCATGGGCAGGGACACCCTCCACTGGACCAGGCTGCCCAAACCCCCACCCAACCTGGCCTTGAACACTTCCAGGGAGGGGGCATCCACAACCTCTCTGGGCAATCTGTTCCAGTGCCTCACCACCCTCATCATAAAAAATGTCTTTCTAATACCTAATCTAAATCTAGTCTCTTTCAGTTTAAAGCCATCACCCCTTGTCCTATCACTGCCTGCCCTTGCAACTAGTACCTCCCCAGCTTTCCTGTAGGCCCCCTTTAGGTACTGGAAGGCTGCTCTAGGGTATCCCCGGAGCCTTCTCTTCTCCACGCTGAAGAACCCCAACTCTCTCAGCCTGTCTTCATGGGAGAGGCACTCCAGCTCTCTCGTCGTCTTTGTGGCCCTCCTCTGGACTCTCTCCACCAGCTCAAAGTCTTTCTTGTACTGGGGTTGCTTTGGTTTAGTCTGCTAGTTTTTGCTAGTTGGCAAGTTGCTTTATAAGCAGTATAGAGATTTAGTAAGAGCTAAGTATTAAACTTGATTCTAGCTTCAAAGGCTTCTGGAAAGCCTAGAAATCCACATGATCCATGATGTGCAGAAGAAAATTAACCAGGAGATGACTCTAGTGACATCTGAAAGAGCCAGACAAGAGAGCAGTCTCCCCACTGGTAAGGAGAATTAAAATACCCTTCCTGGGAAATACGGAAGCCCCAGTCTTGAGTGGGAAATAGATAGCTTTGGTGCAGAAAGGCAGCAAAGAGTTGTCCTGTGTGTGAACAGAGCATGTTTGCTCTCAGCTCCCCACTTCCCTGTGCGCCCATTTGGAGGCCAGGGATCAGCTGAATCATGGGGGAAGGTATCACTGATGAAAAACAGCTTACCCTCAGGAAAATCTCTTCTGTTTTGAAGACCCCATTGTGAGAAATTCCTGAAATACTTCTAGCAGGAAGCCATGAAGAATTGTGTACCGAGATACCATACGCCTTTCTGCATGGACCTGTTTATTCTGTCTGTTCAACAGATTCAAATTCCCAAAATCTGAGAGTTCACTTTCTCTTTATAAAGTGAGCGTTTAGCCATAATCATTGCAAAGACAATTGTGCAAACAAGGCTGAACACTAATTATTCTGGAGTTCGCAGGCAGCCTGAAACAGACTGATAAGAAGTTCTCTACTTGAGTGTTAATATTTTAGGCCTAGCAGTGCAATTTCTGTGTCAGGCTTTTTAGTATGTTAGGTGTTTACTCGGTACAATTACTGCAGGGGTGTGGGCAATTTGGCTATTCACAGGCACAAATAGTAAAACAAAGAAAAAGTGGGAAAAAAGGGAAGAAAAACATGCCCTACTGCCACTGGTTATGGTTGCAGGCAGCAATAATTAGAGCACAGAAATGTTCAATTTCACATAAAAGTCATGTTCTTTACTCAATATTTACAGCAAACTCCAATACACAATTGTGGGTCAGGTCATTATTGATGGAACGGGTCCGTAATGAAATTGCATTTTGGCTTTGATACCAGAATGAATTTGATATTGCTGCTCAACATAGGCTTTGCAATCTGTTTGCAATGACATTTACTTTTTGTTGTAAACATTTTAGGAAAGCCAAGAAACCCTAAGCTATAAAGTGTACCCAGTGTCAAATCCCAGGGATTACTGAAGGATCAATATTTTGTGACAGTGATACCCACTGATGTGTGGTTTTATTCTGATTTTTTTTCTCCCTCTGTTCCTGCAGAGCTCTGGAAACACAGGGTAATGCAAGAAAATTTCTCAGTTGTACGACCACAGATAGTTGAAACATTTATTCAAAGGCTGATGGAAAACTACCAAGAATCAGATACAGAGGTACATATTCTGCATTTCTATCTAAGCAACAGCTAAATCATGTTTACAGCTTTATTTATTAAAGCCCTTGTCAATCCGCGACCTAAAAGGGAAACACGTTTCCTAAGCTTATGAGCTTAGATTCAGATTATGTTGGTTTGTAATAGCAGCATTGGCAGCAAACTTGTGTATTGCCCTACTGCCTTCTGACAGGTTTATTTCAGCTCTCAGAAATGTAATAATGTGAAGATGAGTTAGGGTTGGAGGTTTGTATGCAACCGCAGTGCAGGATTGCAGGACTTTATGTGCAGATTCAGTAGGGGGAACTCTTCTTCCCAAGTCATTGCTAAATCAGAGGTGCAGCACAATGTTACGAAGCAGTTTTAGGGGGTTTTGCAGTGAAATGTAAAGAAAATATTTAGGCAAATATGACCACTTCTGTTAAAAAAACACAGAATATGTTTTTTTGAGAGAAGGGATGTTGGGGTCAAACTGCAATCCAGGCAGTTGCTGAGCTGGTGATTTCATTTCTCTATTGAAAATTCTCTTTTAGCTTCAGATGGATAAAAACACATTGTATAGTTGCGGCAAGAACCGGTTAAAGAACTGACAAGTCTGTTTTCCATTAGTGCAGTGAAATAGTAGATTGGGCAAAAACATTTACATTGAATATTTTTATTTTGCTTCATTTTGATATCGCAGAATCATTTAATTTACAATAAGGTGGCCATGTTTCATTTTAACATATGCTACATACAGCAACTCTTGTGACTCAGGCTACCTGCAAGGTTTCTTATTTTCTTTTCTTAGGTTTCTTTTAAAAAAAGCCATTTACAACAATGTCTCACTGTACTGGGCTGTGACATCATGGCCAGGGAACGCAGCAACTTTGAGACCTACTCCATGTTTTATGAAAATATTCTCCAGCATCAGCATCGTCTACTTTACCAAAAAGAACAAGTATGCTCACAGCGTTGATTCTACTCTTTGAGAACAGGGGAAGGTGGTTTCTCTGGGTGGGAGGCAGTTGCTAAGTGAAAAAGTTAAGCTGCTGGGCTGGGAAGTTACTGATGTAGAGTTGGGCTACACAAGCATAGTCATCTTTGTGCTTTGCTTCAGGAGCTGCACGCAGTGGAAGAAGGTGGCAGCCAAAGCGATATGGCTCTGACACAGGTTGGTGATGATGGTCTATTGATTGGTAGTACTTGGTGGTCTCATTTGGGACAGAGTCCCACTGTGCAGACACATGGTGACAGTCTTTGAGAAGAAAGGTAGAGGGGCTCTGGGGCTGCTGTTTGTGCACTCAATGCCAGAAGTAATGGCAGAAGGACTTGTAAAAAAAGATAACCTGAAGGCAAAGTGGTGGCCTGCTGTTCTGTGGTTCATATTCACAATGGATGATATACTGGTAACTTTCTAACTTAAACTTCTATTGACAGGTTTCCTCCTTCATAAGGCATTTTCCCAGGGCAATTCAATCCTGTGCATTGACTGAGACAGAAAATAAAAGTGGGTCAGGCACGTAGGCCATACTGCAATGTAGGTACCAGGCTGTGCTAAACCACGGCTGCATAACCAACTCGTCTTAAGTTCTGAGTGCTTACTTGACTTTGTAGCTTCAGCTGTGTTTTTTAGGGTAGCTGGTCTGTGTGGGCAGAATTTTTTAAAGAAGTAAACCCAGCCAATAAATCAGAAATGCCCTCTTGTGGAATCATGTGATATCCATGTAATCTATTAGCTGACTTGAAGGCTTGGCTCCATCAACACAACTCCACTGCTAGAGGCATGTTAGCTTCTACATAAACCTACACTACAGAGGAGACTGCTTGGGTTCCAGGGATGTTTGCACAGCAGTGTTAGAAGATCTGCATTTTGGATTTCATTCCTGGGCTTCTTTTCTCATCTGTCCTTATCACTGACTACAAGATTTCAGTTCTTCTCTGGGCTTCTTACCAGTTTCTTGCCCCACTTTCTCACGATCTTTACAGTTTTTTTACCCCTATATCCTTTTCTGTACAGTGTCTTGTCAGCAACCTCCCTTCCCTGATTTTACTGTCCTGTCCATATGTTTGGGAAAGCTGGAGTGATAGAGAAAATGAGAAACGTGTGAAGTTTCAGCTGGGTGGAAAGATACAGGAGGAGTTGGTAGGACCTTCCTGGAGCCTGTGGGCAGTGGAGTGTCTCCCCTGCCTCAGCTTTGCTAGCCTATGACTGCCAAATGCCTGCCTCATCTGCCACTTGTCTTGAGTACAACACAGCTGGTCCCTTGTGACTGGCCACCCCGGGCAGCTGCCTACTGTCTCTGGGCTCTGCTTCAACCTCAGAAGAGGCTTCCTGCTCCCAGTTCCACTTCTTGCTACCCTAAACCAATGAACAGAGGCTACTGCAAGTCTGAAGGGCAAGCTCAGTCACTCTCTGGAGGTGTTAGAAACCGTGAGAAAGGTTCAGGCATGATCAGCCAAAATGGGATGGCAGATAGTTTAAAAATTAAAACGTCTGTAAGGAAATTACATGAACCATGTGGGTTGGAATTTTCCCCTCCAACAAAGTCTTAGGATTTGACCAACTTTTTGCTGATTTTACAAAAAAGACACCCAAAACAGAGGAAAACTAGTCCTGCTCTGAGTAAAGATGACCAGAATTTTTCAGCAGGGCTAAAATACATGTATTTTCCCCCAACATTCATTTTCAGAAGTCTCTCAGTAATATTTGCTGGAAGACAAAAAAATTGACACAGAAAATTTCAGCGAGAATCCACTGAAGTTATTAGCACTTACTACTTAGATCCAGCATGTGGAGGTGCCAGGCAACCTTGAAAGCAGACTGTGCTGTTGGCTGTGCCTACAGTCCGCAGTTGTGCCTATTTCTTATCTGAATAACATAATATGCTAAGAATGATTTTTATGAAAATGACCAAATGTTTATACCTAGCAATGACCTATCGATGTGAAATTTAAATTCTGTCATTTAAATCTTTTTTAAGTTCTATCATGTAGCTCCCTATTTGTGCTAACCTGCGTGCCCTTTCTGAGGGTATGTTAATTGTCAGTTATCAAAAAAATGGAACACATAATTGTTTTTATCGTATATTAAATAGCCTGTATGTACAACCTTATCAGCAGACAGCATATTTGCTCCGATAAATGCATTACCTCACAGCTTGCTGAACAAAGCCTGGTTACAATTCTTCTGACTTTCTCTCTGGAGGCAGGGGAGATTATGCTATGGGAAGCCAGACTCACTGACGTAGCAGAGCGATGCACAGGATCTTGTCCTGAAATCAGATTCCCTAATCCTGCTCCCTAATCCTTCTGCTCCTCTGTCCTCTGCACACGTTTCCTTCTGTCAGTGTTCATACATATTAGTGAGGAGATCTTTCTTTCCCGATGAGCAGAAACAGACTTTTTAAGGTTATACATGAAACTTATGCATTTGCCTCCTTCAAATATTAGTCATGACCTGCCACAATCCTTCCTACTGTTTCCAGGGAATAAATGTTTCTAAAACCATTAGAGATGTATAAAATGGATTATTCCATATCATCAATGGATTATTTTCATCAGGCCACTCAGTTAGGAAGATATTCTTGCTCTACTTACTTAATTAGGTATCACACAACATATTCAGAGCTCTGGATTGTTTACTCCTAGCCTATGGTGTTTGCTCATCCCTACCTTTGCTCATTCACTTTCTCTGCTACGATAGATTGTGGGGCCGTGCCATGGGATGATTATGGAAATAACTGCTCTCAGAGCCCAGCTTGCTGACTTAGAGGAAGAAAATCTTGGTCTCAAAGAGAAAATTAGAAAAGAAGTACGGGATGAATATGAATCATTAGTGCGGAACCTATTTGCGACTTGTGTCCATCTAAAAGTAGGTGCAGAATAAGAGGGGGTACTCCATCGGTCTTCTTTGTGTTGCTGTATAATTTGCCAACAAGTGTAGCACTCAAAGGAATAAATTGCTGCAGTGTGCCAGGTGGATGAATGGGTGAATCATTTATCTCCTGCTGCTACAAGTATCTTGTAAATATGTCTGGTAAAAAAATAGTCTACCTTTTCCAAGAGAGGAGGCGTATTCTCGATGGAACAGGTACCACATTAGAGAGAGTGATGGAGGCTCTTTTTAGTTACAGTGAAGGGAACAGTTTGGATATAATACTTCATTTTGTAATATTCTGCATTATTTTTCTTGGAAACGTTATGTCCACTGCATAATTGTATTGCTCACTCTAACAATGCCTTTGTTTTCAAATAGTCTATTGATTTCTTTGGGGTCACATATGTCATTACTTACTTACAAAAATAAGATACTCCAATCCCGCCTGTAAAAACTGACCTGATGATTGTGATCATGGGTATTATAGAGCAACCACCTGCATCAGATCCCCAGGGGTTTGATTGATGGTCCGCAAGCCCATTGATGTCTGTGGCCAGGGCAATAGTGACTTGAGGAATGTTGTGATTTCTTTTGCAATCCTGAGGGTGAGTTTTCACCAGAAAGCCAATTTTTTTCACCATGGTGTTGCTACTTCTATTACATACATGCCTGCAAATAATACAATTGAAATTCCACTTCTTGTAGTGCCTTGATGCAAGAAGAATATTGCTCTGTCTTCCTGCTACATTGATTCTAGGAAAATAATTATGAAGAAAGACCATCTGGTTGTAGTTGAGAGACTTCTGAAATCTTCTGAATGTTGCTTTCCCATATGTGCACGCTTAATCTCTTGTGGGTTCTGTTTGTAATTGCAGGGAAAATTGGATGTCTATCGCCTTAGCATTGAGCAACGAGTGTTTGAAATCATCAGTGAAGTGAGAAGAGAAGGAGTAGACAATATGATTGATCTGAAGAAAAAGTTTGGCTCCACTAAAAATAATGGTGACTTGAAAGAACATTTGTCTAAAGTAAGGAAATACATATATGTGTCAGTAAACGAACACAAGGTTAAGCTTGCTGCGATGGCTCAAGTTACTGCATTCTATCATCTGGGACGTTGGTTGGGTGAAGAGCATGGAGGTGGTCCATCACCAGACTCTGTTAATGGCCACTCATTTGTCAGGCTGTCATGAATCAATCGTCTTTGACTGTGTGTTTATGCTCCAAGTGCAGAAATGTTGGGCCCAACCCAGCCCTTAGACCCTGAATAACTACATGTATTTGAATTGAATTTGGTTCTAAACTTAGGAACTCTGCTTTCAGTCTGTTCTGAGTGAAACTAAAACCATGCTTTCTACACAGGTGAACATCAGAGAGGTTGAACTTGGATCTGAAGAAGTATGAATGTGAATTCACATTCAATCATATACCAGCATTGTCATGTGTTGTCATTTTCCCTTTTTGGGGTGGGGGAAAGATAATGTGATGTTTCAGTGATGCTGATAAATGTGTTGATGGGAGTTTTACCTTCTTGTTGTGCAAGCTGGTCACATAAAAGAAAGGGGACAGAATCCTTTTTTTCCACTTGGGGTTACTTAGAATCAAAAATATATTCAGCTTTATGTTTTGAGGAATTGCCCCCAAACTGATGTTCTGGGAGTTATAAAGTCTGGAAAGTGATTTCCAGGCTACAACTTCCAAATCAATCCCTTTTCTAGTCAAATGTATTCCTCCTCAGCGAAGTTCAATTTGTACTAAAATTATGGTAGTCAGTCAGTGAATACAAATGAGATCAAATGGGTAACGGCTAAATACCTCTGTCTAAAGCGAATACGCCTGCAGATCTCTCAAGCAGAGAAGCTCACAAAGCAGGATACAAGGGTAACGCCAACAGAGTGAGAAGGGCTTTCAACACCCCCGGTGAACATGGGGGATAGGGACACCCAGAAGTAAATGAGGAACCAGTGGAGATGGAGGAAGTCCGTGTGTGAGAAGACTGCAGGGAGACTTCCACACGCCCACTTGGAAAGGACAGTGTGCAGAGGCAGCAAACAAGGAGAGTGGGGAGCTCAAGTGCGGTCAAAGGGCTGTGGTTTGAGCGGAGTCATGGGAACTTGGTGGGCTGGTGCACACCCTGGTCATGGGTGGTTACAGGGTGTTTGAGAAGGATCAGCAGAGAAGAAGAGAAGCGAGAATTGCGCTCAGTGTAAAGAGTTCATTCCGTACACAGAGCTTGTGTACGAACGTGGAGATGTACTACTAAAAAGCCTATGAGCCAAGGCCAGAGGGGGCGAGGAATGTTAGTGATGATTAATAACTGCGGTGGGAAATCTGTTACAGACTGCCTGGTCAAGAGAATAAATGGGAAGGACCTGTCTATAGAGGGCTAAGAAAAGCGGTTTTGACTTAAGGCCTTGGTGTTTATGGAGGTTTTATCCATCTGGAAATCTACTGGAAGGGGAACACAGCATTGTGAAAGCCTAGGTAGTTCCTAGACAGCATTAGTGATAATTTCCTAGAAGCAAATGCTAGAGGAGCCAACCACGGTAAATCCCTGTTCTGCTGCTCATAAACAGGGAAAAACTAACTGGTGATGAGCGTCATCTGAGGCCGCAGTGACTATGAAATGATTTCAGGATCAGGAGAAAGGTTGCAAAATTATGCTGCCGAGCGAGGACTTGGGACTTCAGGAGAGCAGACTGTGACTTGCTTAGGGAATTGCTAGGCAGAATCCCTGGGAAACTGCCAAGAGGGGAAAAGTGCTGAGGAAAGCTGGTTGAGTTTTAAAGAAGACTTAAAAAGATTTCAAAACCAACTACCCTGTTGTACAAGCAGACCAGGGAGTTTAGCAGAAACTTGGCCTTGCTTGACTTAGCAAGGAGCTTCTCGAAGGACTAAAATCCTAAAAGAGAGATTGCAAGTAGTGGAAACATGGACAGGCAACAAAGGTAGAGTTATCAGAGCTCGGCCCCATAGTGATGAAATTAGGGAGGCCAAAGCCCGACTGCACATAAATCTAATACAGGACACAGAGGGTAAGAAGGTAGAGCTTCTGTGCAGAGACAGGAGGGTCAGGACCTCCAGCACTCCCCTGTAACCCTTGTTTCCATGATTTTTGCATAATGAAACTGCTTTCCTCTGCCTATAGAACAGTTTTCAGGAGGAAGTGTGCTATTTTGAACAAAGAAGAAGAAAACTCGATGACTATGCTTTTCATGACTCCACTAATTTTGTTCTTATTAGTGACATTGTAATTAGGGTTACTGAATATGGTATGAACCAGAATGCCCATTTGGCATAATAGTGTTTATCACCATTAACAGTGCTTCATTGCTGAGGGGTTTACCTGCTTGCTGTAGTGGATTAGATTTCTTCCATTTTTTCCCCAGTTTCTGGGCAATGTTTACATTTCCTATTTCCCTGGAGACACAGTAATAGAAATTTATTGCTAAAGGCTGTACTGTTTCAAACTGCAAAGTTTGAGCATTTGACAATTAAAATGAAATACAAATAGTCGCATGCTTTTACAATTGTATTTACTTCCAAACCATGCATTTCTTCCTGGGGAAAGTAATCTTTGCGGGTCTACTCTTACCAATGTCTCCTTTAGCAGGAACAGCTGCAGCTCCTGCGGGATGAAAATATCAGGCTAAGCAAGCTGGTGTGTAAGCTCAGGGCTCTGAACTGTTGGAAGCAAACCACGCAGAAGGCGCAGCTCTCTGCAAAGCTTAGAGATGCTGAGAAGGTGGTATTTCCCTACCGTTTCATCTGTTACTAGTCTCTAATTTTTCTGCAAAAACGATTGGGCAGGCTCACTATTATTCTGTGAGCCTATAGGAGCTTATGGTAACTGCAGATTTTAGGTAATAATTGTAAACTTTTTCCCCTCGATATTATGGATGTAACGGTGGTCTTCAAGTGTGAAGAGTGTGAAACAAATCCCTGATGCCTGCTTGAAGCAAGAGTCTAAAAGTATGAGTAGCCTACAGTATTCCTAGTTCTGTTGTTGACTCAGAAGACTAATTATGACATTGTATCAAAATCAGCTATTTCACAACTGCCAAATATGAAAAAGCTGACAGGCAGACATGAAGTGAAAATGAACTAGATTGTTGGCTTGGGAGGTTGCTGAGGTTTTTTTTTTTTTTCTCTTTTTAAATTGGTATCTGCTTAAACAAAGCAGAACACAGCATGAGGCTTATAAATTTAATTAAGAAACACAAGATGAAGCACAAAAATGACTAAATTAAACTAAGGTGAAGATGGATGGAAAGAAAAGTGCCTCACTGCTTTAAATGAGGCTGATTAGAATGGAACAAACAGGTTATTGATTGTTATATAGGTTAATTAGCTGCACATGTCAAGCAAAGGAAAGGCAGAATGGATCATATTTGTTACCTTAAAAAGAGTGAAAACAAAACGGGTTTTGTGTGCTTGTTAATTTTGAACCCAAATAAAACTGGATGTGCATACACTTAGTTCAGTTATATCAGGGAGGTGCTGAATCATTAGAATATTTTATTAAACAGATCAGTCAAAGATGGATTGAATTACTGCAAATTTGTGGATTTAGATAAGAAGTAACAGCTAGCTTCACAGGATTTAAAAGAAAAGTCTGAATCTGAGAAAAATAAATGGGCACATGTGGCTTTTTTTAAATTAGAAACTAGCTCATCTTTCTCAGACAGAGCTTTCTTGTGTCTGACTTCTTTGGAACGATCCTGAAGATCTAAGACCTTGTATTTCGTTGTACTCCACTCACGTGCAGAGGACCATGGACCTTGCTTTTTCCAGTTTAAATGGCTGGGAAAAGAGAGAGAGCTGCTAAATCTGTGCCTGACATTTATATACATACATATTTATGTTTGTGTTGTTTAAAACAAACAAAAAGACCCTGCCCAGAAGGTAAACAAGCTTCATCACACACATTCTTACTTTAGTGGTAATGAAGGAAGAAACAGATTAGTAAATGGACAGATCTTTCTAATGCATAAGAAGGATCAAGTTTTGCATTGCTTTGAGCTTGTTTGCGCACAAGAACTTGAATTGTTGACATGTGAATATAATTAAAGATGTGCAGTTGTACCCATATGACAGATTGTCTTACATTTTCCCCTGTAGAGGACCCCTCTTGTCCACCCTGTTCCCCACTTTGCCTCCAAAAAAGGTCCAGCCTTTATTAGAAAATAGGAACAATTCAATCCCACTTCACTAAAAATCTCTGAAAAATTTACCTTTCAAGAAACCCATTGCTATATAAACGAGAGAAAAATCACTGCTCCCATCACTGTTTCTGTTATGTACTTTCCGTTTACAGGAAGCTCTTCAAAACAAAAAAGAGTGTCTGACTGCTAAGATGATGGCAGAACAAGAGGTGACTTCGTTTCAGGGTCAGCTCACGTCTGTAAGGAAAGCTCTTGCAAAATCTCAAGCAGACAATGACAAGCTCAAGAAACAGCTACATAAACAGGTATCTGAATTCAACAGGTCCCGATTCATCAGTGCAACGAGTTGAATTCTTCTCTCCACCTCACTTGTTTTGATGAGGATTTTGCCTACTGTTATTAGGAGAGAAATGGATTCAAAACTAACTGCGTAATACAGTTGCTGAAGCTGGATGTACATTTTATGGCATTGAAACAATGTGTTCATCTGAGTGTTTTCACCATTGCAGGTAGAGCGAAGTAGGGAAAAAGGTGTAGTGTCTTGGATAAAGTTTGAGTCACGTACCAAAACAACAGCTACAGGCACTACATTTATATACGCGATCAACAGGGCTGGATGTATGTTTCAGCAGAGGAAAAGGCACTATTAATATTCTATTTCACAGATTAAAAAAAAAAATAAATTACAGATCTTGAGGTTATTAGTCTTCCACTCAGTCATTAAATTTCAAGGAAACATTTTAGGGATGTTGTCATTAAATCCTGAATAATTTCATTATATGTTTGTTTGTGGGTTGGGGTTGTTTTGTTGGGGTTTTTTTGTTTGGGTTTTTTTTTCCCCCCCCACCTGAACACTGCCCCAGCTAGCTCCTTTTCACTTCTACACCTGGCTACACGTGCTGAAATGGCCCATTCCTCAAAGTCAAACTGAAAAACATACTCTTCACTTGCAGTATACTTAATGCCAAGCAACATGATTGTATGGAAAATGTCTTGTCAAACCAACCTCATTTCATTCTGCTGATAAGATTACAAGTTAGATAGGTAAGCATAATGCTACAGACGTAATACATATTTGGAAGGGCCTTGTAATGCTTGAGTTAGCAGCACATAACTTTTGTACTTTAAATTTTAGTATTACACAGTATCAACAAAAATGCTAAATGGATTGAGAGCTAGATTTTTTGACGTATAAAAATGTGTTATTTTCATTGAACGAAGGCGGTTTCTGATGGATTTCTACAGGGGTTGGTAGCAGAACTATCAGTATCCAACATTTTTGTCAGTGGCTTGGAAATAAATATAAAATTATAGATTACAAAATTTACCAATGATGTATTTGGGGAGGAATGTTAGTGAATTTGATAAGGCACATTTAGTGAATAACAGTGTGGGCAGAGCAGGTGTACAGAATCATAGATAGCTCAGTAACTTGGTTATCCCTCCGAGACGCATTGCAGTGCCTGAGTAGATGAACAACTAGAAGAAAGCAGGACTCCTACAGACCAGGGTGAACGCATCCCTGGGCAGGACAGGTGTCCTAACAGACAGATGACTGGCCATGTAGTGCGGTTCTGGAAAGGATGGATGCTGCAATCTTTTAGTTTATAAAAAGGGGAATAGTGCAGATAGATACATTAAAAATGGGTTTGCAGCTCAACACACTGAAATACTGCCGCTGGCTCCAGGGTGTACTACTTTAAAAAGATGAAGAAAAAAAATAAGAGAGTGTAGAGAAGAGTTACCAAAATGATTTGAGGGCTGCAGGAAACACTTTCTAGCAGAGCGATCTTAAAAGGCTTGATCTGTTTAGCGTATCTGAAAGAAGAGTGACTTGATTATACTCTACAGATATTTTTGTTGGGAGAGAATTGCAGATATTAAAGGGTTCTTAGGGAGAGGCAGTGCCTAGAAGTTGAGGCCAGACAAACTGAAAATGGGAACTTAGAAACAATGTTTTCAAAACGTGATTAGCTGTGGACATGACAATATGTCTAACTGAGTATCTTCAAGTCAAGACCAGATGCCTTTCTGGGAAATGCGGTTTAGCCAAACCAACTTGTTCATTCCAGTACAAGGGTAACTGAGGTAAATGTGATATTGAAAAGTCACATCTGATGGCTCGATTGCTCCATTCTGAGCTTATCAGTCTATGAAACTCCAACCTTAGTAAGGCTTAGAGAGCTCCCTAATGGAAAATGTTTGGGCTGTGACTGCTTTTAGCTATTTGTGTTCAGATTTTTCACCAGCGTGGAATTGCCTTTGGCTGATAAATTGGTTTTCTTCACTGACAAGCTGTCAATTTACTTCCAAAAGACTCCCTGCATCTACCATCTTTCTAGAAACTGTTTTTGTTGTTGTTATTGTTTTTCCTTTGGTTTCTGACATCAGCTTCTGATTCTTGCCTAATTACTTTCCTCGGTTCAGATTGTGATGATGGTGTTTACAAATAGAAGACTCCACAACCCTTGGCTGTACAGGAGGGTTTGACCTGATGTGCATGGCTTGTAATACCATCACATTCAATTGTGGTACAGATTCTAAAATGTAGCCGTACTCAACTGGCTGTCTCTACAAACCATGTATAAACAGCAATGTTTGAAAAAGCTGTGCTCATTTCCCCCCCCTCATTCCCTGTTTATATGGTGCTTTAAAAACAAGTTCCACATGCAGACCAGAGGCTGGTTGCAGAAAGCAAATTACAGCAGACTGAGGAAATTGGAAGCAACTGCCTTTTTTATTTGCAATTGAATGAGTTCCACACATGAATGTTGTTTTGAGGCTCCTCTCTTTAACAAGCAGTGATGTAAATACAGCACTCTGTTCCCACTCCCCCTTCCCTTGCACTCCCTGTTTCCACAGCCTAGATTTTCTTTTGGATTTACGTCTGACTGTAGTCCTTTCATAAGATCATAGGATAATTCAGATTTGTTTACCAACATTTCACTATCTTCAGTACCAAGCCATGTGGGATAGGGTCTCTCCTCATTCAGCTCAGCTGGGTATGACATCTGAGGATTGGTCATCAGGGCTTAAAATGAAATCTAAAAAGGTGTGTACGGGAACTGGGGGAAAAGTAATTTGAGTCTGAAGTTTTCCTGACTGTATGTTGTAGAAACAAATGCTGTTGGAAGTGGTACAGAGGAAGATACAAGAAGCCAAGAAGAGAAAAATACTTGGTGTGATGAAAGCTGAAAACACAGATAAGATGCTTGAAGAGACAGAAGAAAAAGAGCAGAGAATCAAATGCTTAACCAAGGAAGCTGAAAAATCTTCTAAAATATGCCATCTTCATGAAAAAGGAATCAAAAAAGAAATGCAGCAGGTAAACTCATAATGCAGACTTGAAAATTAGAAATGGTAGTGTTTCTGGAGAGATGTCAGATGCTGTCTGACCACATCTGAGTGTGTGTACCACTGAGTGTGTGTACCACTTCAAGTGTCTGAAGTTTAAATCTGTTACTGTATTGCTAATCATTGATGTAGTATAACTGAGTAACCAGCTCCACTGTTAAGATTATCTTTGTGTAAAAGAGATTTAACCACTTCAGTTTAAAAATTCATTTGGGCAAATAAATACAATCCCTGTGTTTAGCACAGCTGGTAGAGTGGGCTCTTAGCTGTGAAATGTTCAGTGCTTCTTTTATAGTGTAGCCTGTAGGACAAAATATTGTTTGGAAACCACTTGATTAGACTTTAACTAGATGAATCCATCTACTGACAACTTTGCTGCCACTGAGGTCTCCTTGCCCTTGTTTTCTTGGTTTAGAGAGAAAAAAAGCTTTGTAAATGTATCTGAATGCCTCTCCTGTGAACCAAGCAAAGTATATTCTGTCTTCAGTCTTCTAAAGCATCAAGGTGAAAGCATAGGCTGTTTGTTTTCCAGAGTCTGGATGACAAATACCATTCTGCTGGGAACAATTTCTCAGGCTGCGGGCATGTTTCCTAACCAAAATCCTATGGGAGACTTTTTTTACACAGCCAAAGCAGTTGGTGCAGACACATAAGACCACTGATTTCATTGGTATCTGTCTTTAGTGGGGTTCTGAACTGTTTTGCTGTGTTTACAAAATAACCCTTCAAGAGATCAGAGATGTCAACATCTGGATCAGCCTTTAAGGAGAGCAGGAAGGAAAACAGCAGCTGCAGTGTGGAAGCTTTTATTGCCACACAACAGTCCCAGCTGCAGCTAGCACCTATGTGGTTGTTAACACTAACAAACTCTATATTTAAATTTAGTTAGCAAATTACAGAGCCTGTGGGAGAGGTGAGGGAAGAGCTGCTGGATTTTTCTCCCCACATCCTTCTACCCTGAAAATGAACGTAGGGCTTTGTTTAATTAGCATTACATGCAGAGAACAGTGAGAAAAGGTCTCTGTATTGTTCTTGTCTTCCTCCAGCAATGCCTGAAATGCAGATTCCTATTAAACAATAATAAGAATGTCAATTTGCACTATTTGTGCTGTATTTTGCATTCAGTGGGGTTATGGATATGTTTAGCAAAGCTGTAATTATGGATTTCAACCAGCAATAAATGATGGCCTCCCATTCACAAGAGTGCCCAGGGCAACATCTTTTCCTTTAAATCTAGGTCTCTGCTCTGAGGCAGAGCTGTCAGATGATGAATTTTTCTTGCTGACATTAATCCTTTTACCACCTTTTAGACAAGAAGCCAGTTAACCCAAGAGAGCAGATTAAAACAGGAGGCCTTCCAGCAGGTTGATGAATTGCAGTGTCAAGTTTATGACCTGGAAGCTGCAGTTTCCCAGAGGAGCGTGACTGCAGGTAAAGACAGGTTGGGTGTTGTAACCTGCTTTCTTGGGGAAATATGTCTTACGAGCTATGTGTCTGTGTCTCTGAATCCCTCCTTAACCTTTGAAGGTTAATAACTTTAAACCATAACTCATGTTGCCTTTTGCTTTGTAAGGATATCATGGGAAATATGAGGGGAGCTGCATTTAGGGGAGGAGGCAGTTAGGAAACAAAGGATTCCGAGTGGTAGGAAATCAGGCTTCATGAGTGGCTCCAGCCTTGGAACAGCTGACTTACAAATCACGCGGGGCAGCCATACAAGACTGTAACTTTCCAATCTGATCAGATACGTACCTATGATCACAGGTATCTTTAGAGGATCTCAAAACAGCAGCGAGAGCTCTCTAGCCCTTAACTGAATTAACCTCGAACTTTAACTAAACCTTTAACAAAATTCTTTCTTCTCAGCTGTTTGTTAGGTAACTTTTTAGCTTAATGTTTACATAATTCATGTTGCTTAAGAAACTTGATTAGAGATTTCTACCCCTACCTGCCTGAAGTTGCTGCTTTTCAAAAGCCTACTGTCAGTCTGATGAACTCATGCAGAAAAATTGATGGGTGATACCTAAGTTCCTAGTAAATTAAATGAGGAGAAAAACTCCAATAATCTTTCAAGGTGCATTTCAGTGCCATAAAGATTACAAAGTGTTACAAATTTATGATAGTTTCCTTCTGCAGGGAAGTGTTAGTTATTCCTGCCAAAGGAAACTGAGAAATGCTCGTTAGCACACTGCTGAAGACAAGACATGAACCAAATGTGGGGAAATAAAGAACAGGGAGGTATCTTTAATTAATGCACAAATACATTTGGTTTCTCTGGCTTTAAACCAATCGAGTTCAGAGGAAAAGTTGGTGCAAAACTTACAAGTCACGTTGATGCTACTAAGCACAAGCAAAGCAGCTGCAACAAGAGAGATGATTTTTTTTTTTCTCTTCTACTGCAGTGAGTTGATAAACATGATGCAGAGCTGGGAAAACTGGCCAAGGAGCTTGGATTTCTCTATGTTCAACATAGACACCTAGCCTGAAAAGTGTTAAAACTCTGCAATGTATTGCAGCTACCTTTTTACTTGTGATTTTTATGGTTTTTTTAATTATATGCCTGTAATGGATGGATGTTATGAGGCTTGGTGGTTGGTTTTTTGAGGGTTCTCCCCCCTTCCTTTCAAAAAGATAGAAGAAAGACTGCAGAGTTGTTGTCCCATAGTATAAGCAGCATAGAAGTAATTTTCCAGGTAGTAAGAAAATATTAAACAGCTATTATTTTTGATGCATTAATACTAGTACTTCCCATAAGGCAATCCAGACTTGCATCATGTAAAGATTTAATTTATCTATTAATCTGAGTTGCAGTCTGTCACTAACCTGACTTCAGACCTATAGCATTTGGCCAGACCTAGTTGTATACAGGTGGCAACTGTGACTTGCAATAGCCCTGTTTTGCCTGTAAAGGTGAAGGTGTGTTTCAAACAGGTCATGTCAACTCCAGGAACTGCCCACATAGACTAAGACTTCAGCCAGTTTGTAAGAATAATCTGTACATTAGCAATCACATTAGCCACATCCTCTAGCTCTTTCTCCATTCCTTCTCCTCCATCTTCACATCTTCCTTTCCTTCCCTCTCAAATGCACTCAGCCACGGCCTGTCTCAGTAACGTAAAACAATTGCTGCATTTCTTTCTGGGTTCATGTGATGCTTGTGTAGTCACTCCTCTCAAGCCTCTGCCTTGGGACACATGGATGCTGAGTGCAGTCTGACCAGACTGGGTAGTTGTCCATAACTGCTTCAGCAGAAGGCCAGAGTCCCTTGGACATGCACTCTGAAATAATGCCAGAAACAGCTATCCAATCTGGTCTGAAACATCTTGGATCATATCTGAGGAGGAGGATGAACACTGTCTCAATTAACAAGTGCAGGATTACAGCTACACAGCAAAAATACCCTCACTTTTTTACCTAAAGTTAGCGGGGAAAGGTTAACATAGGATTAAGAAGTAACACCACATTTTACATAGATACAAATCAGGGTTAAACCACATTATGGCTGATAGCAAGCAGAGCATTCGATTCATTGGGGAACTTTTAGTGGCTGAAGGGTTGGCATTAAGTGGCTTCATCTCTGCTTTTCAGAAACCTACAAAGATGAAGACTGGAATTCACTAGGGAATTTAGTGTCACTGGGAAAAGACCATTAACACCCACATCTTTTAATCTTGGCTTTCAACAGGATGGGGAAAGACAGATCTGTGGGGAAAACAGTCACATGTAATGAAGCAGACTTGGGGCAGCAAGTATTTTCTGCTTCACAGAGATGTCTCCTGCTGGAGGAATGAATGCTGATATACTCATTACTATGAATGAAAAGGGTGTGGGGTGAGCTGCCAAAATTGCAGATAGCTGCAAATAGTTTTTGCAAATAGCTGCAACTATTTGCAAACAGTTTTTATTCTATTTTGTGTCAAGATCATCCATGAACCACTTTTTCCAGACTAAGCAATCTATTATTCTATTAGTCCTATGCTGAGTGCTCACAATTTGGGGTTCGTTTTTTTTTTTTCCTCTTCACCCTAACATTGTGCTTAGAGGTCAAAACCAACAGCTTTTGCATTTACTTGAGTTCTGCTTTAAATCTGTGTTGTTAACACCCCAGATTCTGCAGCTCAGGTCCAGTGTAACAAGCTTTCAGCATCCACTCAGCATGGGGATTACCAGCAGCATCCTTTGAATTTTGACCCAAGAAGCAGCAGTGGAACAGGAGGAAACATTCAGAGACCAAAGACAGTAAGTAACGGTGACATTGAGAATCACCTGATATGGTTGTAAAATGAGCAACTTCTTTTCTAGTTTGCAAGCTGTGATTTGTATATATTCCCTGGCAGGTTTCATCTGGACAGCAAGTCAAACCCCTTTGAAGATTTATCTTTAAGAGCAAGGTGACCAGTATGCATGGCTAGCAAACAGGGGAAAAAAAAGTTCCAAAAATTGACTAAGGAAAGGGGGCAGGAGGGCTGTATTTAGTTAGCAATGGTCCAGGAAAGATTCTTTTATTTAATTACTTATTACCATGCCATGGCTGGTGACTCTCTTTGTGTTACTTATGCTTTCAGGTGCCTAGCAGAAGGAAGGGGAGAATGGCAGACAGGCTATTACCACACCTACATGAAAAGTCTCTTCCTACTGTTTTCATGCAGCTACGGAAACAAAGGCTGGTAAATGTAAGTTTAATCAGTCCAGGGCATTTTGGAAAATGGAAGTAAGAGAACAACAATTTATATACAAATCAAAGAGGGGCAGTAATACTCCAGTGCTGTGATGTACTTAAAACACTTGGATGCAGATTTCAATAATTATTATTAA